CCGACAGTTCTTCGCTCAGCAATAGATCAATAACTCCATTCGAGACCTTTCAAAATGGTATTCTGTAGAGCTTGAGATACTTTACATGGAAGTGCCTTATGTGCCTTATTTTGATCACGTGACGTGCCGTTTTATATTGATATACGGCATAAAAGGCATTTGCCTTTTATGTAGAGGCCTGCGTATAGGGCCATGCCGACTCTGAGACCCACCACGGCGCCTGTACGACTGACTAAGGGCATTATTGACCCAAAACGCACTCTTTCACTTCACACGCTTCTGGACCGCGTCGTACTCAAGTCGAAGTCTCTCTGTGACTTGTAGAAATTCATGTTTCCCCTGTCTTGATGATTTTCACATTTGCATCACCCTCTGGCGAAGTCTTCCCGGAAGGGTGGGCAACGCTCATCTCCTATGACCTTATCGCCCATAGATATCAGACGCGTACAAAGGTCGTCGAACGTGAGTGAGTGCTCCATGAACTTGTCGCCAACGGCAGTCACAAACTCATGGTGTTACTTCTTAAGCTGCACATGGTTGTACAGGCTTCTCTTCACGTAAAAGTCGCGCAGGATCGTCCATTGTCGGCATAGGAAGACTGTTTTGCATCCTTAACTGGTACGTCGGGTTGTGCATCCTTGGGATGATAGCCAGCGCATTGGGATCGGCGGTCTTTCAATCTGAAGTCGTCTGTGCTATCGTGCTTTTTTTGGCTTGATCTCAATGTACCCTTGTTGGCAAGCGCCATACCTGAAAGAAGGTCCTATAGGTAGTATCCGTCGTCGGTTGGTGTTGTTTTGTAGCTTGTCATCATAATCTTGGGCTCATAACCTCTAAAAGCCGTAGAGTTGGGATCATTTACAAGATGATTAAAGTGAAAGTGAACTAAAACTCTCTCCACAAGTTGAACCTGGTGAGCACACCCCGTTTCTTGTTCGAATGTTCTGGGACTTTTTCTAGAAGGTGGTTGGAATACCAATGTAGAATTAATGGAGTCTTTATATCATTAACAATTTCATTGTGTGCGCAAATTTCTGTTAAGAACTTTTAGTATTGTAGATAGAGAGGATATTTATGAAAAATAAGATAATAAACGATTTCGGAATATACAATACACAGAGCAATCAGTTTTCTGGTTCTTCTACGCGTTTGCTGAAGTAGACTAGCGTGAGGTGCAGAGCAAAGCCAACGAATATCGTATCGTCAACATTCTCGACATGACACTTCCCCAAAGGCTCTCCGTCTGAACGTATGCTGTCTTTACCAGTGATATCCAATAAAGGGCTATCAGGCTTCATCTGATTAGTCCAATCGGATCAGTCAAGATTCTTTACCGCCGCAGAGTTTATTAATGAGCCTGTGCCAATTTTGCTACGACCTCAATCACGAGCTCGTATTCAAGGCTTTTGATACATATTAGTTACAATAGCACCATAGTGGCTCGGTTTATCAAAGTTGTCTTGCAAGCTCTATAAAAGTCATTGGACTTTATGATAACAAGTCATCATTCCGAAATTTGCTTCGTCTAACAAGCCTTGATCTTGTTTGAAATGAATCTCGAGTTCGTGGCATACGTGGCAACATGTATTCTGCAGGTCTTCGGTTCCGAAAGATATGAGGTGTCCAAATGGTATCTTTGCACCCTGTTTTCCAATACTGTGGGTCTTTATAACAAAAGCACTGATGGTAGAGTGTGGCAAGTTCTCGGCACTGCTTCGCTTGTACAGCACTCAAGAGCGTGAATCAGCATGCTTTGAGATAATGAACACCATGAATATTACCAATCCAAAGTGACCCCCTCGCACAAACTTCGAAGACTTCTTTCATTCCTACTTTCAACCCCACCGTTGTACATAGAGATTATCAGCTTTTGCGTCGCCTCAAGCGCTGTCAGCTCCATGATGCGGAAGTCTTGCCGAACTTCATTAACAAAATAATAGATTCTGGTTACCTTACTCCGGTTCCTGATGAGAAGAGTTTATGTTGTACAATCTCATCGTGTACTCGGAGTTGTGGGTGAGACTGACACCTTCGTTGGCGAAATTGAAAAAGAGCTTACCGCGGGTGGGGGCATAAACGACGTTTCTTTGTATTGTTCTTTTTCAAAAGAACGATCGAATGTGTGCGATAAGTACAATTTTGGCAAGTATGAAGCTCGTGGAATCATCATTAAGCGCGACCGATACTGTTACAACTCCATACATTTTCATCGCACAAGTACTCGAAGAGCCTTTTGGAATCCGTTAATAGTAAAACGAAGAAGCTGATCACCCTCTGGTCACCTTCGAAACTGGTAGTGGCGCAACATTGCCTTCTACATCCTTTTAACTGAGATTTCAATCGACGTGGATTGGGGATAATTTTATCAACAGTAACGGTAATTTTGCTGGTCTGGATAAGTCGCATCTGGATGAGATGCCAACATTCGAAAGAATCTCTAGCGACTTCAACAAAGCGAATTTTACGACCGACCTGGATTAAGCGCCCGCCATTAACTTTTAGAAGCGATCGCATTACATATTTAGACTTTGTTTGATGATGCCTTACTTGCATGCCAAGTACGATAGCTTTGGTATTTGAGGTGAACACAGTGGCATCCTAAATGATTTCAATAACACAAAAAATATTCTGTTAAACCACATTGCTTCATGGCATTCAAAAGTCTTCACTGAATTGTAGACTACGGAACCGGTGCAGCCAATATGGTTTGGTTATCTCACTGCGTTATCAATTTATGGCCTAAGAAAATAGTCATATCAGGAGACGCCCAAACATGTGTAGGCTCGAGCAATAAATCATTTGTTACCTATTATTGAGATGATTGTCAAATACTCACGCATCGCTAGCTTACTTAACCATCATAATACATGGTTTCGCGTTTGCTAAGCAAAAGGGAAGGGATATGCACTGTTATCGTAGGATTAAGCCTATGTCACACTCTCCGCAACATCGTACGCAGCTTAAACGACTGGGAACTTATTGTTTATTGATTATAATTCATGGTTGTGTTCATGATGACCATTTCCCACACTTCTGCAGTATTCTCGTCCGCAAAATGATGACTGAGATTGTAGAATTATCGATGCTGCAAAGCTATTGGAATTAGCTTCACCCTCCACGAAATCAAGAACCTTATGAATACATTTATTCGATAGCTTAAAGAGCAGTTTGCTTTCCTCATCTGACAATGCTCCTTGTATGTATTTGCTTTTAGAACAATTGCTCAATCACGCTACAACACAATATGTCAAGTTTTGAAGGTGTCACTAAAGGGTCGAATCAAGTTATAGTGAATGTATTGCTACACAATGGTAGATCTTTTCCTCGACTTTACTTTTCTCCTTTTCAGACAGCATGGCCGAAGCTTTGAGAATGTCAGAACTCAGGAGCGTTAAGTAGCCATGAACTGATGTGATTTGTCTGCGAGTAGAGAGAAAAAAAATGCAAACTGAATCATTTGGAATGCCGATGCTTTTTATTTGGCACTGAAAATGAGTCACTACCTAAGTTTGTACAAAACTTGACGCGATTGCTTTTAAAGTTGAAATTGAGCGCTTGAAGTAATCGATAGAAAAAAGTTTGTAAAATTGCCTTCGTTGAAGTCGCTAGGGATCATCTCGAATGTAGGCATCTCATCCAGACACGACTTATCCAGACCAGCAAGATCACCGTCATTTCCGATATATGATACAATTATGCACATGTTTCCATCGATTGAAATCTCAGTTGTAAGGATGTAGAAGTCAATGTTGCGCCACTACCAGTTTCGAAGGTGATCAGCTCCTTCCTTTTACCAGTAAGGGATTCCAATAGGCTCTTCGAGTACTTGTGCGATGAAAATGTATCCATCTTACTGCTCAGCACTAGAACGCTAGCCTGACTCGGAATTGTAACACTCGCATTCCAGTATCGGTCGCGCTTATAAATGACTCCGCGAGCTTCATACTTGCCAAAGTTGTACTTATCGCACACCTTCGATTGTTCTTTTGAGAAAGCACAATACAAAGGAACGTCGGTGTAAATGCCCCAACCCGAGAAAGAGTTCGTAAAGCGCTTTCTCAATTCTTCCAACGAAGGTGTCGGTCTCTCCCACAACTCCGAGAAACGAATGAGGGGACTCAAAACCTCGAAGCTGATTTCGTTAGGACCCGAAAAAAAGTGGCCACGATTTACGACATTTCTGATAAATTTCGTCAAGACTTTCACATCATGGGGTTGGCAGCGCTTGAAGTGGTACACTAATTGAGGAATTGTCATGATCAATGCTGGGGTTGAAAGCAGTGATGAAACAAGTGCTCGAAGTTTAAACGAGGCTGGCCATTTTGGATTTTTAACATCCATGGTGTTCATTACCTCAGAACACGCTGAGTCAACTTGATTGTCGAGAGTGGTTATAATATCTTGATACGCAGTAAACAACGTATCCGGAGCTTTAAAATGGGAGCTGCAGACACGGTCGTGATCGCAACGCTCCATAAAAGTTCTTGCCACTTCGTTTTCAATAAAATCCTTTTCTGTATAATAATTATATACCCCCGTTGTACCCATTGGCGAATCCAGAACGTACCCAATAACTTCAGGAGGGGCGAGAAGCATGAGACGTTTCACCGTTAATGCCCCGTAGTTGGTTCCATACACAAAAGTGTGGGCGCCATTGGAAAGCTTAGAGATCAAATCAAAAAGGTCGTGCGCCGCACTCATCGGTGAAAATGCCACGAGATCACCAAACATGGATTCTAGAATTAAAGCACATGACTCAACTTCGGCAGGGTTCATCATGAAATTATACTCTGGATCGATTATTGTCATTCCACAATCCAGACTCGTGCTCTTTCCGCTTCCGCGAGCATCCATCATATAGACATTTGCATCTAGATGTCTTTTTAGCAGGACCGCCGATAATTCCTCTACGTATAAACAGGTTAGCAATTACGCTAGCCATCACTTATTGAAGCTACTTACTAGTTTCGACGTCCCCGTCCAGAATCCATATATTAATTGCAGTCTCGGGATTGCTGGCAGGATATCGTTTAACCAAAAGTTCAATGGTCTGGTTCACACCCTCAGGTGGTTTACAGATGTCAGAGTAGCACAGTGGTGCCGAAAATTTGCCACACTTAACCGTTTTGTCTACGATACCGTTATCATAAGTAAACAGGGCACAGGGATACCATTCAGACACCTGATGTATTTTGGAAGCGAATGCCTGCAAAACACATGTTGCGGCGAAGGCTACGAGCTTGAGACTCATTTCGATCGGGATCAAAACTTGTTAAACGAAGCAAATTTCGAAATGATGACTTGTATCGTAGACTTTCATAGTGCTCGCAAGACATGTTTGATAAACTATATCAGCTGTTATAAACTATCTGACTGTATGAAAAGGCTCTAGATATAATCCCATGATTTACGTCGTGGCAAAATTGGCACAAGATCATTAGGAAACACTCTGGAGGTAACGAGTTCTGACTGACTCGATTGGATCGATTGGATCAAATTGAGATTCCATAACTAATGACAATTCCGTGGTCTGTGCAATATCTAAGTCATAGAGCATATTTATAAAAAACAGGTTAGATTAATTAAATTTGAAACTCCAGAACAGAACTAGTTCAATTTCTGGATGAAAACATGCTGACACATCTTTTGCGCGTTTGTTGAAGTGAACTAGCGCAAGGTGCACAAACAAACCCATCGCATGTCGTATCGTCGACATTGTCTACATGACACTTCCGTAAAGGATAGGATCTCTGTCTGGTCGTTAATTATTTTTACGAGTGGTATCCAATAGGGTTTGACTCCATTTTCTTCTATTGAATTTTCAGTCGTTACTACCAGAGTGTTTGCTGACGATCTTGTGCCAATTTTGCCACGACCTAGATCTCGAGATTGTATCTGTTGCTATTTCATACAATCAGCTAGCTTATGATATCAGACACGGTGACTCGTTTTATCAAATTTGTCTTGCGAGCTCCTATAATGTTCATCGGACTTCATGATAACAAGTTATCATTACGAAAAGTTGCTTTGTAACGGGGTTTCACGTACCCTGGTAACAGGGGTGTGTGTCACACGAGATGTACATGGTGTGACTGCACCCAAAC